GGTGCACAGGATTCATGGGGGTGCAGGGTTCATGGGGGTGCAGGGTGCACGGGGGTGCAGGGTTCATGGGGGTGCAGAGGTGCACGGGGGGGCTCAGGGTGGGGAGCGGGGTCCTGCACCCCCCCACCCCCCCCCCGCACTCCCTGGTGCTTTGCAAAGTCGAGGGGATCCGAGCTGCCCCGGACCCCGCAGAGCTGGAGCCCGGCTGGGTTTCGAGGCCCCCAGGGCTGCCATCCTCCCTCCCTCCTTCCCCAGGCAGGAGGAGGCCCAGGCCATCGACCAGGAGCTCTTCACCGAGTACAAGTTCAGCGTGGATCAGCTGATGGAGCTGGCAGGGCTGAGCTGCGCCACCGCCATCGCCAAGGTGGGCGCGCGAGAGGCCGGCACTGGTCCTTGGGGGTCCTGGCCCCGTGGCGTGGCCTCGCTTCCCCACCGTAACCCTACATCTCCTGTCCCACGCCAGGCCTACCCGCCCAGCTCCTTCACCACCAGCCAGCCCGCCGTGCTGGTCGTGTGCGGGCCGGGGAACAACGGCGGCGATGGCTTGGTCTGCGCCCGGCACCTGAAAATGTTTGTGAGTCTCTCGTGTAGGCGGCTGCGCGCTCCCCCCGGGAGGGCGCCCGTCCCCGTACCCGCAAGCATTGGGGTTCCCGCTCCTCTGGCTGCTCCTGCTGCCGGAGCGCCCTTCAGGTCCCTCCCGCTCTTGCAGGGCTACGAGCCGACCGTGTATTACCCCAAGCGCCCCAACAAGCCCCTCTTTGAAGGTCTGACCACCCAGTGCCAGAAGATGGACATCCCCTTCCTCCCCGAGTTCCCGGCCGAGGTGAGGAGCAGCCCCCGGCTTGGGAGCAGCCGCCCCTGGAGCCGTGCCTGGGGCTGTTTTTCACCCGCCGCCTTCCCCGCCGCAGGCCGCGCTCATCGACGAGCTCTACGGCCTGGTGGTGGACGCGATTTTCGGGTTCAGCTTCACGGGAGCGGTGCGGGAGCCCTTCGGCAGCATCCTCGGCACCCTCGAGCGCATCACGGTGCCCATCGCCAGCATCGACATCCCCTCGGGTGAGTAGTGGCCGGACCCACCGGAGGAAGGTGCCCGGCCGGGGTCTTCCTCCTCCAGCCTGGCCTCGGGGCTTGTTGCAGGCTGGGACGTGGAGAAGGGGAAGGCGGACGGCCTCCAGCCTGACATGCTCATCTCGCTCACGGCGCCCAAGAAGGCGGCAATGCATTTCGCTGGCCGCTACCACTTCCTCGGGGGCAGGTTTGTGCCCGCCGCGCTCCAGAAGAAATACGCTTTAAACCTGCCACCGTACCCCGAGACGGACTGCGTCCTGCAGCTGACCTAGGGCTGGGGCTCAGCGGGGGCTCGGGGTGCTGGGCCAGGCTTCGGCACGGCAGATCAGGGCCTAATTCTGCCAAAGCCGCAGCTCTCTGCTAGGAGGATGCTCAGCACCTCACTGGGCTCCAGTCCTACCCAGCTCTGCCAGCGGGATTGAAGTTCACCGCAGACCAAAGCCCCCAGGAGCTTGGGAGCGACGGGGCGGCTGCCTAATCCGAGTGCTTCTAGGTGTAGACGCGATCCTGGGGTCTGCCGCGCGTCTCGCACCTCAGGATAGTTTCACCCCAATAAAGATTTATTCGTGCCCTTGAAAAAATACTTCGATACCGCGGGGGGTCTGTCCCCTTGTGTCCCTCTGCGACAGACCCACGGCAAATGGGTGCCTGTCCCAGGGCCTGGTGGGAACCGGGGTCACCCCTGACGGGAGGAAGGCTCGGGGAGTGAAATAAAGCTCGATCCAGCTCCAGCCCAACCAGTCCCAGCCCAGCATCCCCAGGCAGCGAAGGCGCAGCTGGGCCACAGCGCTGGGCTCCACCTGGGAAGAGCCCAGAGCACCTTGGGCCCCCATTGGCGCCAGCAGGCAGGATCGGGGCCCCGACAGCCAGACGGTACCGGCGGCTGCGCAGCGCGGCAGCCGTGGCCCTTCCTCACTCCGGCTCCCTCTTCCTCCTCTTCTTCCTGGGGCTGTGCCCAGCTTCGTCTGGCCCATTTGTGTCTTCCAGAGGTACCTCTGGCTCAGCCGGCTCTTCTTTGTCCTCCTTCTTCTTTTTCCTCTTTTTCTTCTTTGTCTCAACGGGCTCTTCTCTGTCCTCCTCCTCCTCCTCTTCCTCCTTCTTCTTCCTCTTTGCAGCCTTCCCTTCCCCTGCCACCTCCTCTTCTCCACTTGGCTCCTGGTTCTTCTTCTTCTTCTTCTTCCTCCTCTTCGCAACCTTCCCTTCCTCTCCCGCCACCTCCTCTTCTCCGCTTGGCTCCTGGCTCTGCAGCCCCTCGGGAGCGGCCCCGTCCCCAGGCTCTTCCCTTGTTTTCTTCTTCCGTTTTCCCTGCCTCCCTGGGGGGCTGCTCTCTGCGGGCTGCCGCTCCTTGCCTCGGTACGCGGCCAGGAAGGCTCGCTCCTGCTCCTCCAGGCGCGCCAGCTTGGCGCTCATGGTCAGGCCGTGACGGGCACCCCTGCAACGATCGCGGGCAGCCGGGGTCCGGCACCTCCCTGGCAGGGAACGCGCACGCCCCGGCCCAGCCCGCTCGGAAACCCCTGCCAGGAGGGGGAAACCCAACCGTGCAGCCCCCCCCCCAACCCCTCACTTGTGTGCGGTGCGGCCCCCGCACGCTCGCATCAGCTCCTCGTCCGTCAGCCTGCGGGACGGAGACGGGACGTGTCACCCCCGGCGTCGGCGCGGCATGCACCCCTGCCCCAGCCTCGCCTCCTGGCCGAAGAGAGGTCCAGCTTCTCCTCCTCCTCCTCCTCGCTGCTCTCTGAGCCGGTGGGCGGCTTCGTGGACTCCTCCCCGCGTGCCGTGAGCGTGGCCGCCTGCGGCGGGGAGAGGCAGAGGGGCCGTGAGAGAGGGGGCCAAGAAAATGGGGGCCCTGGGGGCCACAGCAGCGATGGGCTGGGGAGGCTGCGCTGCAAGGGGGGTGCAGAGCCCGCAGCAGCCTTCACAGAGCCGCCAGCTTCTCCCCGAGCCACGGCCCCGGGGCCGGTTACCTTCACGAAGCGGCCGTACAGCATGCTGCCGGTGCTGCCGGCCTTGCGGGGCTTCTTAGTGCTGATCCGGACTCCCTCCTCGGAAAGCGTCTTCATGGAGATGCCATCCTGGGGGGAGAGAGATGCCAAGGGCTCGGAAGCGTTTCGTCCGAGGGGCTTCGTCCCCTCCAGCAGCGCCTCCCTGCCACCACGGTCCCAGCGCAAGGCGCTGTTGGGGGCTGCGGGGAGATGTAGCGGCAGCGTAAAGGCCACCAAAGGGGACCCCAAAGCCTTCCCCTGCCTTCAACCCCCCGCCGCCCCCCAGCCCTCCGACCTGCCCGGCCTCCACGGCGC